AAATAATGCCCATGGGCGTTAATTCACATAAATATTGTATTCTCTGGCCCAAATAATCTTGCAACTTGAATTTTAATAAAAATTTTTGGTTTAAATAAATATGTATAAAAAAAAGTAATATAATACATCAAAATTTGTATTGCTGCTCTTACTATTACATAAAATCAAAGACCAATCTATACAATTATTATAAGTTTTAGTATAATCTGTCCCTTAAAAATATCTAGCAACCAATTGTTTGATGATATTACCGGTGAAGATAACATGTCATTCGAATATGAAGAAATCTCTAATTTTAAAAATAGTTTCAACGAAAATATTATTAGTGATGAAAATATTATTGATAATGAAAATGATAACTATTATGAAGATGGTGGTTATACTGAAGATAAAGAGAATAATATGACAGGATCTTTGCCTATTACATCTTACTTTACTTCTCAAATAGGACCTACAAAAAAAAGTTCAAACCCAAATATAATACAAAAAAAAAAGTAAACATGTAATCAGCTGGGTATGGAAGTATACTCGCTGTGATAAATTAACAAAAATTAAACATTGTGATATTAATATATATAATGATGATGGTACTTCAAAAAAGTGTACAATGGTGTTTATGCCTAAAACAGCAATAACCAATATAGCTGCGCATTTGAGAACTGAACATAGAATTTATAAAAATCAAAAATGGGAAGCACAAACACCACTAACATCAACTACAACTCTCACGTTAACCCCATTTTGCCTATCCACATACAGGAGATTAGATCGAAGATTTTTTGTGCAAAGCTCTTGCTGAATGGAATATGTTTGATAAAGTTAAAGCAGTGATAAATGATAATGCAACATCAATGGTTAAAGCAATCAGACAATTAGGCACCACCCACCTTGGCTATACAGCACATATCATTCATCTTGCGGTCACCGACGGTTTAAAAAAAAAGTGAAACTTTAATTTCATAAGCAAAATCATTAAATAATTTTTTGGTAAACTGTGATAAATACCGGTCATTATTCCGAAAAATTCAGCAAGAGTTAATTGAAAAAAAAAAAAAAAAAAAATCAACATACTACTAATATGCGTATTTTAGAGCCCATATCAAGCAATACAGCTACTAGATGGAATTCTACTTATCTTGTTCTCCAGTGGTTTCTAGAACTTCAAGAATCAACTTTAGAATTGGCTAAAAGTTTAAAAAATGATTCTGACCGTACTGCTCATGCCAATGGTTCTAGCCTAAATGAAAAGATGCTTTCTGATAAAGAATAGACAGGTAAAAAAAAAAAAAAAAAAAAAAAAGGTTTAAAAAAAATATATACCTCTTTTTTTGTCTTAAATTATTTCATCAATAAGTTATTTGGCTATCTAAAGTTAATTTTTTGGTTCTCATAA